GCAGCAATCGGTTCATCGAGGTGCAAAGCCGGCTGGGCGGGGGCGCGGCCTGCGGGTCCGACCGCCCGCTTGCTGGTCTGGATGCCCGTCTTATGACGCCTCGTCCGGCGACGCAGGTGGCGGCGCCTTCTCCTGTCCCGTGGCGGGAGCGCTCCCAGAGGTCAACCAGGGTCCTAGGGTTGGGCACTCTGTTGCCTGGTCTGGTGGACCTTTCCCTGCTTGTGTTGCCTGTTGCTCTGGTGCGAGCCGCACCTCGCAGTGCGGTCCTGCGTGTGCCTTCGTTCCTACCCCGGGGGGCCCGGCGAGACGGGCTCCTGCGTGTCCTATCAGCGGCGGTAGCGCGAGGCTGGGCGCTGGGCTCAGGTGGTCGTGGCCCGGCCGTGTTTCTGATTCGGGTGCGCCTGGCCACGCCGTTATCAGCTGTGTTCGCAGTGGTCTCAGCCGGGGCACGTGCACGTCTGGGCGTGCTGGCGCGCCGGGCGGCGTGTCCAGTCCTGCGGAGATTCCTTGGCGAGGCCTCTACCGTCTCACTCAGAACCTGGCCCCTGTCGTCGGTAGAGGGAGCGCCGGCTCCAGCGCGCAAGATGGTGCGAAGCATGGCAGGTGCCAGGCTCTGAAAGGGGGCCTCTGGTGCCGACACGCTGTCCGAGCGAGATGCCGGGCTGCCTGCGAGTTGTCTCAATTGGGCGCAGGCTGCATCAGCCGTGAGTGCCACCTGGCGTGAGTGTATTCTCCTGCCAGTGGGGTTGCGCGTCCCAGGGGGTGGGTGGGTATTCCAATAGGCGCTGAAGGCATCTGGAATTCGCATAGCAAGGCCAAGTTCTTCGTGCAGGTCACGTACGGTTTTGTCAATTTGTGGTATGGCGGCAGCCCACGCTATCGCGCTGAGCACTTGGTTCCATTCGTCCTCGGTGGGGGGGCTACCTAAGCCGTCAGTGGCGTGCACCTGTGCCCGTCTGAGCGTGCGTGCCATGGCTTCATACTCCCTCCTCCAATCCTCCTCCATGCAGGCGGGGAGCTCAGGCCCGCCTCTCGGCGTGTCTCCTCGCCCCAGGGGGTCATTACTGCAGCCTTGCACCGTGCCAGGGGGCGGTCTCCTGCTCTGGGCTGTTGTCGTGTCCGCGGGGGCCCGTGGAAGTGTAGTTGTCCGGGGTCCAGCCCCGTCATTGTCCGCTGTCCTGACGTTCGCGGGTGTACACTGCACGTCTTCGGTGCTGACAGGGGTCGTGGCTCCACCCTTCCCCGCCGTAGGCTGCCCCGTCCTGGTAAATGCCTCTGCTGGAGAGGTCCGATCGCTTCCAGGGACGTCCACACCGGTGTGGCTCTTGGAACGTCCTACGGAGCCCGCACCATTAACTCCTGTTGTCTCGGCAGAGTTGTCAGTTGGGGCGGGGATTTCAGCTACGCCAGGGCTCGGCATGGTTGCGCGGACTGGGGTGCGGGTCCGGCCAGATCCATCCGTGGGTGTCGCGAGGTTCATCGGAGTCGCCAGCGGTGGAAACTCGCTGCTGTCAGCATCGTGGCTTATGCCATTGTCCACCTCTCCGTCGTCTGTCGGTCTAGCCAGGGAAGGTGGTGACGTACCCTGCTCGGGCGCCGCCAACTGGGTCTGAAGTTGCGCCCCATTCGCGCTCAAAACGTGGCTGTCAATAGACCCACCGTTGGAGCTTGTCCTTGCCTGTGATGTCGGTGCTGCCGCAGGAAGCCCAGGGCCGGTCGGGGGAGCTGGTGATCCGATATCTGTAGCAGTGGGCAGCCTCGAGTCGCATGCTTCCGTGCCTGTAGCGTCCATCTCGTTGTTCGTGCGGCTGCGGCTCCTGCGCTGGCTCGCGTCTGGGGTGTCAACAGGCCTGTCCCCCGCCCCAATGGTTCTGGAAGCCTGGGAACCTCCTCTCCACCCCCGAGTAATTCTACCGGGGTCGTGGCGCTGCCGTTCCTCCCAGTGGAGGTTAGAGAGCCTGTTGATTAGGGCGTCCAAGGCACTGGTGACGCTTTCCGGGATGGGAAGCGCGGTGGCGGCGTCAACGTCTGCGCCTCTGGATCCAGGGACTTCGAGCCAAGGCTGGTGGGCTGAGTAGGTGGCGTCGGGCTCAGGCGCGAGCCATTGCGTGAATGGGAGCTGTCTAGTGACCTCCTCTCGGATTCCGAGCTCTCGGATGAGCTGCCAGACGTGGTCGCGGTCTAGGCTCCCCGGGTTGGCTAATTGCAGGATCCAATTTGCGGCGAACATGTCCCAGTTGTACCTTTGCATGAGCCGGCCTTCGAGCTGCCTGCGGGTTTCGAGGGCGATCCGGCGTTGCACGCCACGCGCCAGGTCGTGGACCGCCTGCTCTGGGACGACGGCAGCGACTCTGCCCAACATGCCACGTGCGATGCGCACTGCATCTTCGTCAGCTCTCACCAGGTCCGCCGGGGGAGGTCTGCATACGCTCACTAGCACCTCGGCAAGTTCCGGGAAGTGCGTAGGCCTGGCAGGTCCAGGGAGTGGGTTGAGGGATGCAGTGGTGCGTCTGGGAAGTGGTTGTCGGGAAGGTGCGTTGACCTGCAGCCCCACCGAGGCGGGAGTTGGCGTCGCTGCAGGGGCGGAGTCCAGGCGCGCAACGTGTATTGGACCAGCGACAAGCTGCAGTTTCAGTCTGGCTTGTGGTCTGTCTGCCCCTCTCGCGGCTGCCCTGATGTCAGCGTCCGCAGGGAGGAGTATCGTCACCCAGGTGGGGACTGACGTGAAGAGGAAACCAGTTTCTCCGCTCGTGGTGACCTCAACCGCTCCACCGGCCGCGATTGCGGAAAGCAGGTATTCTCCGGGCTGAAGGACAGTCTCGCAGTCCCGCAGGCCACTCCCCTGAAACACACTGGGTACCGTGTTGGGCGCACTCCTGCTCATCGCCCTGGCGTTCTCCCGGAGCCAGTCGCCTGTGATGAGGGGTGGGGCGGCTCTGGTGTTGGCTGGGTGTGAGGTACCGTTAGGGCCGTCCGGCAGTGGCCAGAGCCGGGTCAGTATCTGCGCATTCGCAGAGCCGACCGCGGCTGAGTAGAGCCGGAGCGTGCTGTGTCCAGGAAGCCACGCATCGGGGCGCATGCTACGGGGGCGAACTTCTCCAAGCTGTGTCACGTGCCTATCCAACGTGGTGATCTCGAGTATTTGGGGTTGAATGGCACGCCTAGGGGCTTGCCGGACAGAGGTGCTGGCCAGGGCGTCCACGTGCTCCTGTAGCTCCCTGGATACCCCGGCTGCCCTGTGCATGGGGTCCCTGCTGGGCGTGGCAGGGAAGATCCTGACGGTTTGGGCTCCGATCGCTATGCAGCTGGTGCCCACAAATGCTGCCGCCATGGCGTCGGCCGCCGCCAGGCGTATGCGAACTTGCGTCATGTACCTCTAGTACTGGTGGGGATACGCGAAGTGTCAACAATTGTATATGGTCTGGCTGCTGAGACCCCTGACTCCAGATCCGCCCTACTTTGGCTTTTTCCACAACTTAAAATTGCGTCGGAAATCCATTTATAAGAAGCCGAAAAAGTAGGGCGGAAATTTCTGCACCCAACATAAAGTGGAGCGGAAATCCACAGAAGTAGGGCGGAAACAGCAGCAGAAAAGTAGGGCGGAACTTGGCATCAGCGGGGCTTGAAAAGTAAGGCGGAAATTCCAAACCCTACCTACGAATTTCCCCAAAGTAGGGCGGATCCGGAGTCAGGGACTGCAGGTTCTGTGCGCGGCGGGAGCGAGGGACTTTGCGGTGCCCACTTCGGCTCCTCAGCCGCGAGGCTCGAGCCACAGGGCTGTGCCCGTCGGCCGCCTGGCGCGCCCCGGCCTCGAGGCAGTGGACGAGGCACGGGGCCTCGACCGCGTGGCGACGGAGGCGACGTTGGCGAAGTTAGCCGAGGGGGCCCGTGCTACCTACCAGGCCGGATGGAGGAGCTGGCTGCTATGGAGGTAGCTGAAGGACAACAGTCCGCACCTGCAGGGGGGGACGCGGGAGGAGAGGCTGGCCGATGAGGACGACTTGATACGCTACGTGGTGTTCCTGTACGACGCACCATCCGTCAGAAGCTGTTTGCCATGCGTTGGCCGGGCTTGGGGGCGTCACCGCGGACCGTCGGCGTCTGTGGACCACGATGGGGGGCTTGCGACGCTGGGGTGGCAAGGTGAGGCGGAAGCTGCCCGCAACCCCGCGGATGCTGACGTGGCTTAAAGAATACTTCTTCAGCCCTGGGGCCGAGCCTCGAGCCGAGGCTGTGGTCCTCTGGTGGGGGGCCCTGGTGACCGGATACTTATTCATGCTGAGAGCGTCGGAGTACTTGGTGCAGCCCGACAAGTCCTGGAGCCTGGACCGCGTCGTACATGGCATCGACATCCAGGGCCTACGGGACGGATCCCCGGAGGGGTGGCCGGGCAGCTGCGACGAGATCGCACTGGCGATCACGTCCACCAAGACGGGCCAATGCGACGCGGGATGTCACCGCGACCACTTCCGCTCGGAGCGCCCGCTGTGCGTGCTGAGCGCGCTGGCTGAGCTGCGCCGTGAGTACCCTCAACGGTTGGAGCGCGGCCTCGAACCGGGCCTCCCCTTTTTTCGGCACGCGAGTGGCCGTGCAGTGACGCGAGGCGAGGTGCAGGGGCCACTGCGGCTGGCCACGCCGGCGCGCGGGGCAGAAGGGGGCCAAACTGGGGTCGCGCTCCCTCCGCGCGGGGGGAGCGACGGCCCTCTGCCGCGCCCGCCCGCGACTTGGAAGCGGTCGAGCGCTTCGGTCGCTGGACGACGGGCGCCCTCCACGGCTATCTGTGGGAGGACCAACGGAGACAACAGTCCTTCGCAGAGGGCATGGCTCAAGGCCGCGCTCTCCTGGCACCCGACGCGAGGGGCGTAGCCGACCTCGGCGAACGCAGCGTGGAGCGTGGGGAGGCGGAGCGTAGGGAGGACGACGACTTCCCGTACCCATCCGCCCGGTCGTCGTTGGCACCCCGTCGTCCGCCTTGGGCAAGGCCAGGCCGGCGTTGTGGCATGTGCATCGACGGCGAGTCGCACGCAGTAGCGTCGTTGTCGTGCCCGATCGAGTCGCAAAGTATCCCGTCGTCATCGTCAGCTACGGGGGAGAGTGGGCAGCACGTGGTCGTCCTCAGTCGTGTCGGTCCCGCAGACACCCCGGAGTCGGACAACAAGTCGTGGAGCGTCGGGTCCAGGTGCGGAGGGATACAAGTGGTGCTATCGCCAACTCCGTCGCCCTCATCCTCTGCTTCCCCAGTGCACGCCGTGCCGCAGCCGTTTCGGGCTCGCGAGGACACGGGCGACCGGCCCGAGGCGAGCCCGGTCCAGTCGGGCGGAGCCGCGGCGATGGTCGCCATCGCGGCAGTGACGCCAGTGGCTCGGGCAGGAGGCAGCCTGGGCAGCCACGACAAGATGATCGCGCAGGTGGCCGCAGTGGGGGTGCTGGTGGTGGCCGGGGAGACGCGCGAGCTGCTCCCCTACGCGCATGTGCTGCTGCAGGAGCTGCTCGGGGAGAACATGGACATCAAGGACGACCTGGTGGAGCTGGGCGACCCGGATCGCGAGCTGGCGCCGCGCGCGGGGCGAGCCGCTCGCCCGTGTGGCAGCCGGCGGGCCCGAGGACTGTGGGGCCTGCTACCTCGTGGACGGGAACCACGCGATACGGGCGGCGTGGTTCGCGGGCAACGGCAAGGAGCAGAGGAGGTCGGCGAAGCTGGCGCTAGCCGTAGGGCTGTTCACGGGCGCGGATCTGGGCCCCCGCCGTCGCATGTTGAAGCGCAACCCCCGGCCTGTGGGAGCTGGAGGCCAGCTTCAACCCCGAGGTCGTGGACGACATCAGCCCAGACGGCCCCTTCGAGCGGGGCGCAGAGGAGGAGGAGGAGGAGGAGGAGGAGGAGGAGGAGGAGGAGGGGGAGGAGGAGGAGAGGAGGAGGCGAGCAACCCAGTCGACGCGAAGTTGGCGCGGGCAGTGGCGCAGGCGGGTCCCCAGAACGCCCTGGGCCCTGGCGCCACTCCGCTTGCCGAGGACGGCGAGCCCAGCGCCGGCCCAGCAGAGGGCGGGCGAGGCCACAGGGGCCGGCCGCGGCGGAGGAGAGCCCCGGCCAGCAGGGCGCCCGAGGTGGCCCCGCCGCGCGAGGCCCGCGAGGCCAGCCGTCGGGCTCCGAGGCGCGCGCCACGGGAGGCGCGCAGGTGGGGGCAAGGGGACAGGAGGAGCCGTGGCGGCGTGGAGGTTCCCCCCCCCGCCGGAGGCCCAGGCGCGAGAGCACCCAGGCGCGATCGCCCCGAGGAGGAGATGGCGGCCTGCCGCGCGGGCGCGACGGGCGAAGCCAGGCCGCTGTCCCGCGCCCGCAGCCGGCGTCGGAGGAGTGCCAGCGCGAGCTCGGGGGAGCCAGCGATCAGGCCGCCCCGGGTCCCGGGCAAGGTCAGGATGGGCAGCCTCGGGGAGTTGTTCACGTCCTGCGGGGCGGTGGTCCACGCGGCGTTCGTCTACGATGCGCGGTGGAAGAGGGAGCCCATGGTGCCGCGCGAGCTCGAGCTCCACGAGGACGCGCAGCGCGCGTTGGGAGCGCTGCGCACGGAGTGCCGCTTCTTCGAGAGTGACGACTAGCAGGTCGTGGCGCAGTGGGCTTAAGAATTCGGAACTGCCCGCGGCGGGTGCAAGCTCGGACGGTGAGGGGGAGACGGTGCCGGAGTACCCGGACTGCGAGTCGCGCGGGAAGCCGATGCGCTGGAGCACATACCGGTGCCTGGGGCGGGACTGGATCCGCACCCAGCATGGGGTCGCCCGACTGCAAAGGGCGCGAGGCGAACGCCGGGACGCTGCGGTGGTACTGCAAGAGCTGCGACCTCTCGCTGTGCAACTACTGCAAGCTCACGGCGGAGGAAGCGGCGGCGCGGGCCCAGCCGGGCGATTCCGGCCAGGATGGCGAGGAGGAGGACGAGGAGGAGAGCAAGGCCAGCGAGGAGGAGGACGAGGCCGTGGACGACATTGGCCCAGACGGCCCCTTCGAGCGGGGCGCAAAGGAGGAGGAGGAGGAGGACGAGGAGGAAGAGGACTCCGAGGAGGAGAGCAAGAAGCCGCTGCGCGCGAAGCAGGAGGCCAGCGAGGACGGGCAGCCAGCGGTGGCCCCAGACTGGCCCCCGGCATCTGGTCCCCGCGCGAGCGGGACGACCGCGCGGCGCGGTCCCCGCGGAGGCGCAGCCGCTCCATCCCCCGCCGGCGGCCGACCCCCAAGGGCTGCAAGAGGAAGCCCGACGGGTCGTTCTACACACCGCGCGGTGGCAAGCGCGTGCAGGCGAGCCGCAGGGCAGCTGCCAAGGGCAGCAACGGGGGCGATGGCGAAGGCAAGCAGAGGAACGGCAAGGCGAGGGAGGGCAAGAGCTCCCGGCACCTGCGAGGGAGGAGCTCAGCAGACGGGCGGCGCTGAGCTGCCAACGTCCCCGGCGTGGCGAGGGGTTAGGCCACTAGGAGCGCTGGGGTAGTGTGGGGCCAGGTCCCCCTTCCCAGCCCAAGCTTGGCCAGGGTCCCGAAGCTTGGGCCGCGTGGAGCGCGGCATCGCAATTCGCTGAAGGGGGCATGCACTTGTCCACTTCGGGCATTTTGCTCTCTGCGCCTCTGGCGCCACTTCTGCGTGTGCAACGCAGCGCCCCACCCCCTCTCCCCCGCGCGCCCGGTCCCGCGTCTGTCAGGCGTCGGACACTGCCCCCCGCACCTCCTGGGGCGGTGACCCGGGTAACGGGCTGCCCCTGGACTCGCCTCCCTCAGGCGCCGGACGCGGCCCCAGCTTGGGGGCCGCGAGCCGGGAAATGGCTGGCACTGGACTCCGAGGGCCCCGAGGAGGAGCCCAACGACTCCTCCTGAGCGCCCGCGCCCTGGGCGCCCGCGTCCTGGGCGGCCACGCGGCCGCCAACCTGGGCCTCTTCCCTTTTCCGCGATTTGCTTCTTACTCGGTGCGCAGCGCCGCCTTCGCACACGGCAGCACGGCGGCTGCCGCGCGTCGGCGAGCTCGCCGAAGCGGCCAGGCGTTCGCCCCGGGAGGCTACACTTTTGCAGGCAAGCGGCCACTTCTTTTGGCTGCGCTTGCGGTTTTGCTTTGATGGTGGCCGATGGGCCAGCGAGCGTGCCGGAAAGGCGCGCAGCCTCGTGCTGCGCGCCGTGCCAGCTGCCTGGTCCACCAAGGGGCCGAACATCATATTAAGGATCCGCAGCGCTAATATGATGCGAACTTGGCGTGATGATGGTAATGATGACGATGATGATGATGATGATGATGATGATGATGATGACGGTGGCGCTGATGATGCCATTGATGTCGGTGGTCATGATGACGATGGTCATGATGTCGGTGGTCATGATGACGGTGGTCATGACGACGATGGTCATGATGTCGGCGGTCATGGTGTCGCTGATTGCGCTGATGATGTCGGTGGTCATGATGGCGACTACGATGGTGGTGATGACGACGACTAGTTTTTCCGCTTGCAAGTGTCGCGGCGCCAGCTGCCGCGACACCGCCTTTGGCCTCAGAAGGCGCGCCAGAGGCGGCGTCACGGGCACGCCAGAGGCAGTGACTCGGCCACGCCAGAGGCAGTGTCTCGGGCAATCATCTCCCAGCGAAGGTCTTCCCAAGGGTTGCTCTTATTCTGCCCGCTTCCTGAGGGCGGTGAATTGTCGGGGCGCGCCAGGGGCAGTGCATTCTGGCCGCTTCCAGAGGCCGCTTCCTGAGGGCGGTCAGTTGGCGGGCGCCCTTCGGCCGCTTCAGGCCGCTTCCTGAGGCCACTTCGTGTTGGGGCGCGCTCGCCACGGCGGGGCGCGCCAGAGGCAGTGCCTGCGCCCACTTCGCCCATGGCGGGGCGCGCCCATGGCGGGGCGCGCTCCTCCTGCCGCGCCCAGTTCGCCCATGCGATGAGCATGCCTTTGTTGTCGGCCTTCTCGCGCCAGGCGAATTCGTCGGAGTGTCTGTCGAGGAAATCCTTCAGCCCCGCAGGCGCCAAAAGATTGTTGAACGTCTCGAACGCGCGCTCGTCGCGCCACCACAACTTGTTGCGGGAAATCCGCGACGGATCGAACTCACCGCCGCCCTTGCCCGCGCGCAGGCAAGCGCGCCCCTATGCGGAAGCGCGGCCGACGGGCAGCCGCGAAAGCAGCGACGCGCTGCGCGCAAAAGTCAGCAAGCGCCAGAGGCAGCTCTTCAGAGGGTTCTGCAAGGAAAGAAGCGCCAGAGGCAGCTACTCAGCAGCACCGCGCCCTCACCTTCGCCGCCGGGGCAGGCCCCAGCGCCCTGTCTCCTGATAGCGCAGGCGCCGAGCATTCTTCTTGAGAGTACCCCCGCCGTCTGCGACTCGCTGTGCTCCTTCCTCGTCGCGAATATCGGTTGTCGGAGGTACAACGTGCACAGGAAGTGGCACGAACAAAGGCGGCACCCGTAGCTGAACATATCCGCCAGCGTCACGAATTTTTCTGTCCTGATGCACCACGTCTCGCCAGAGGCAGAGTCGTCTTCGACGCACTTCAGATGCGCGGTCTCGCCACCATCCACGTCCAGGATCCATCTCCGCCAGAGGCAGGAAGTCCGTATCCCTGCCAGCGTTCTTCCAGGCCAGGTAATCACGCGCCTTTTCGCTCGTGGCGCACTGGTGATGCCAGAACCTGACGTGGCAGAGATTGCCCACGAATTCAGAAGGCACGCCCCTCCACCCGCGCCCCCCCCCAGCGCCGCGCCTCGCCGCTGTGCTTCTCGAGGATGTGCTTTACGCAGGACTCGTCGTCGGGAATCCCTGCTTTGCGCTTCGATGCCTCGAAGGCGTCTGGCGTCAGCGCCGCCCACCCGTCGCCGAGCACGGCATTCGGGCATGCCTCGGCGAAGGGCGCGCCAGGGGCAGCGTCAGGGCCCCGCAGCTCCTGCCACAGCCGCCGCCTGTAGCGTTGCTTGTGGGGGGCCAGCGCGCGCGCGCGACGGGCCACAGCTGCCCTGCGTCATTTGGGCTGTCGTTTCGGCGGGGGGCGCCTTCGAGAAACTGCCTCCATGTAGGGATCGGGTCGCACCAAAAGCCGAGCTTTCTCTGCGTGCGGAAGGCGTTTCGGCCCTCGAGCTGCGGCATCTGCCAGTCTCGGACGCGAGCTTGGGCGTCGGTTTCCCTACGCTCCTTGTTGTCGACGAAGTGCTGCTGCCTGGCGCACGTTCGGACGACGCTGCGAAGCTCGGCCTTGCGTTCGTCGGGCACTCGTCTGCGCTTCCTCTCAGAGAGACGAGTCGTCAGGAACGCTTCCTCTGTTGCGCCAGAGACAGCATACTCGGGTGCGCCAGAGGCAGCATCCTCCCGCTCGTCCTCTGGTGAGCTAGAGGAAGCAACATCCTCCTCGGTCGGTCTCTGCATGCTTCTGGAATGCATTTTGCTCCGCCGCCCTTCGGAGGGCTCGAGTTGTCTCCCCCGTCGCATCGTGCGGTCTCCTCGCCTGCGTCGCCGTCGACGCCCTCGTCGAAAGACGTGCTGCCCAGCTCAGGAGCTGGAGGGGGCGGAAGCGCGCCCCCTGTTGCAGCGGGTGGAGGCGCCGCGATCGCACTGGCCAAGGCAGGCGGAGGCGCCGCGATCGCACTGGCCAAGGCAGGCGGATGCCAAGGCAGCGGGCCCAAGGCCGTCGCTGCCGAAGGCGCCGGATAGCCGCCAGAGGCAGGCAGGAGCGGCGCGGCGGCAGGGGCAGGCGCGAGAGTCAGGGGAAGCTGCCCTGGCGGCGTCGGCCCTGGCACGTCTCGGGGAGGATGGCGTGGCGGCGGCGGCCGCAATTGAGGCCACGTCGTCGCCGAATCTGCTGGCCAGCTGGCGGCCGGCGGCGGCGGCGGCGAGCTGGCCCTCACCCATGCGTGCGTAACCAAAACAACGGGTGGCTTCTCTCCACGCGCGCCAGGGGCAGCGGCGCTGCTCTTCTTTGAAGTCGTGGCAGGCGGCGGCGCCGCCTTCTCATGCAGCGGAAGAAGCGGCGCCTTCTTCGCGTTAACCTTTGGCGCCGCCTGCGGCGGCCACGCCAGCGGCGCAGGCCACGGCGCGACTGGTCTTGGTGGTGTAGCGGCGCGGCCGCCGCCGCTCACGCTGGCTGGCGCAGGAGCAGGCGGCGGGGGTGGCGCAGGAGCTGGCGCAGGAGCCGGCGCAGGAGCTGGCGCAGGAGCAGCGACCGCAGCAGCAGGAGCGGCGGACGCGCCAGAGGCAGCGGACGCGCCAGAGGCAGCGGAGACGCCAGAGAGAGCGTTATACTCCGCGGCGTACATTTCGGGCACGCGGTGGGCGGCTGGCTTCGACCGAGTCGAAAAAGACTGACCGCGCCACATCCTCTTGCTCCCTCGAGAGCTTCTTTCTAGGAGCAGGTCTCCACCACAAACCGAGTAGCCCAGAAGTGTGTTCAGACACAGCCTCATCGCGCAGGTCCTCGTCCGCCGCGGGGGGCGAGGGCGGCGCCCACAGGTTCAGATGGGCGGGCGCCGAGCCGAGCCGAAAGCCGCGGCTCAGCGCATTGGCAACCCGACGTGCCACAATGTCAGGGTCCTCCCCGTGCGACAGCAGGTTGTGGAGCTCCAGCAGCGTCTGGCAATCAAGACAAATCTCGGCTGCGGCCAAGGAGCTCTGTAGCTGCCTCTTTCTCGGAAAATTGCGCGCGCCCGTCAGGCGGAAGGCGCCCGCGTCCAGGAAGAGAACGCGCTCCCCTTCGGAATCCCAGGCCAAGTTATCCAGCTTCAGGTCGGACATATAGACGCCGCGCCCAGCAGCCTGGGCGAAGCTCCGCACCGCCAGGAGGAAAACGCGCCGCTTGCCCTGGCTGTCGTCGCGCAGCAACCGCACGCGCCGATCCAACGGCATGGCGCTGTTGACCATGCGGAAGTGCAGGTGCCTGACGCCGCCGCTGGGCCCGTGGAGCGCAGCGGCGCCGCAGTGGAGGACGGCCGGCGCCAGCTCCCGCAGGGCCCCCGACATCTCGGCCTCGCGTTCATTCGCCTGCACCTGCTTTGCGCGCTCGGCTAGCTTGACGACGCGCTGCTGGTCCGTTGTTGTATATAATGCGCGACATGCCGTGCGCGGCGTAGGTGAGGCTGAAACGCACGGTCGGCATCGCGTCGTCGGCGTCAGAGGCAGCGGACGCGCCGGAGGCAGCGGACGCGCCAGAGGCAGCGGAGACGCCAGAGAGAGCGGTGCCGCGGCGGAGCCACGCATCCATGGCGAAGGGCAAGTCAATGCGCCTGGAACACGTGCTGCGCGCTCGCGCCCACTCTCGGGAAGGCTGCAGCTGTTGTGCGCGGAGGTGGAGCACCAGCGCCATGGCGACAGTACTTAAACAGTTGCGCGGCAGGATTCCAAGGGGAGCCACGCCTTCTTGGAGCCAAAATGGGCGGCGGACAGACGGGCCTCCCCCAGTGGAAATGTAATATTTTTGCACGCTCTGCCCCAATCGAACCCTCCAAATCTCGACCGGCCCCCCTCAAGCGTTTACACCTGGTCGGGTCTAGTTTTTCCCTTGCTCCGGTCTAGTTTTTCCTTTGGTCGTGTCTAGTTTTTCTCTGGTCGGGTCTAGTTCCCCCCTGGTCGGGTCTAGTTTTTCCTTTGGTCGGGTGTAGTTTTTCTCTGGTCGGGTCTAGTTTTTCCCTGGTCGGGTCTAGTTTTTCCTTGGTCGGATCTAGTTTTCCCTGTGGTCAGGTCTAGTTTTTCCCTGGTCGGGTTTAGTTTTTCCCTGGTCGGGTCTAGTTTTCCCCTGGTCGGGTATAGTTTTTCCTCTGGTCGGGTCTAGTATTTCCTTGGTCGGGCCTAATTTTCCTCTGGTCGGGTCTAGCTTTCCCCTCGTCGGGTTTAGTCCTTCCTTTGGTCCGGTCTAATTTCACTGGTCGGGTCTAATTTTTCCCTGGTCGGGTCCAGTTTTTCTCTGGTCGGGTCTAGTTTTTCCCTGGTCGGGTCTAGTTTTCCCCTGGTCGAGTCTAATTGTTCCTGTGGTCGGGTCTAGTTTTCCCCTGGTCGGGTTTAGTTGTTCCTGTGGTCGGGTCTAGTTTTTCCTTGGTCGGGTCTAGTTTTCCCCTGGTCGGGTCTAGTTTTCCCCTGGTCGGGTCTAATTTCTCCTTTGCTCAGGTATACTTCTTCCCTGGTCGGGCCTGGTTTTCCTTTGATCGGGTCTAATTTCCCCTGGTCGGGCTTAGTTTTTCCTGGTCCGGTCTAATTTTTTTGGGTCGGGTCTAATGATTCCCTGATCGGGTCTAATTTTCCCGTGGTCGGGTCTAGTTTTTCCCTTGGTAGGGTCTAGTTTTTCTCTGGTCGGGTCTAGTTTTTCCCTGGTCGGGTCTAGTTTTCCCCTGGTCGGGTCGAGTTTTTCAATTGATCGGGTCTAATTTGTCCTTGGTCGGGTCTAATTGTTCGCTGGTCGGGTCTAGTTTCCCCCTGGTCGGGTCTAGTTTTTCCTTTGGTCGGGTCTAGTTTTGCCCTGGTCGGGTCTAGTTTTCCCTGGTCGGGTCTAGTTTTCCCCTGGTCGGGTCTAGTTCTTCCTTTGGTCGGGTCGGGTTTTTTCCCCTGGTCGGGTCTAGTTTTCCCTGTGGTCGGGTCTAGTTCTTCCCTTGTCGGATCTAGTTTTCCACTGGTCGGGTCTAGTTTTTCCTTTGGTCGGGTCTAGTTTTTCCTTTGGTCGGGTCTACTTTTTCCTGTGGTCGGGTCTAGTTTTTCCCTGGTCGGGTCTAATTCTCGCTGTGGTCAGGCTTAGTTTTTCCCTGGTCGGGTCTAGTGTTTCCCGAGTCGGGTCTAATTTTCCCCTGGTCGGGTTTAGTTTTCCCTGTGGTCGGGTCTAGTTTTCCCATGGTCGGGTCTAGTTTTTCCTTTGGTCGGATCTACTTTTTCCCTGGTCGGGTCTAGTTTTCCCCTGGTCGGGTCTAGTTTTTCCTTTGATCCGGTTTAGTTGTTCCTTTGGTCAGGTCTAGTTTTTCCTTTGGTCGGGTCTAGTTTTCCCGTAGTCGGGTCTAGTGTTTCCTGTGGTCGGGTCTAGTTTTTCCCTGGTCGGGTCTACTCTTTCTCTGGTAGGGTCTAATTTTCCTCTGGTCGGGTCTGGTGATCCCTGTGGTCGGGTCTAGTTTTCCCCTGGTCGGGTCTAGTTTTTCCTGTGGTCGGGTCTAGTTTTCCCCTGGTCGGGTCTAGTTTTTCCTCTGGTCGGGTCTAGTTTTTCCCTGGTCGGGTCTAGTTTTCCCCTGGTCGGGTCTAATTTTCCCTTGGTCGGGTTTAATTCTTTCCTTTCGCTCGGTTCAATTTTTCTCTGGTCGGCTCTAGTTTTTCCCTGGTCGGGTCTAGTTTTCCCCTGGTCGACTCTAATTGTTCATTCGGTCGGGTCTAGTTTTCCCTGGTCGGGTCTAGTTTTTCCCTGGTCGGGTCTAGTTTCCCCTGGTCGGGTCTAGTTTTTCCTTTTATCCGGTCTAGTTTTTCTTTGCTCGGATCTAGTTTTTCCCTGGTCGGGTCTATTTATTCTGTGGTCGGGTCTAGTTGTCCCCTGGTCGGGTCTAGTTTTTCCCTGGTCGGGTCTAGTTGTCCCCTGGTCGGGTCTAGTTTTTCCTTTGGTCGGGTCTTTGTTTTCCCTGGTCAGGTCTAATTTTCCTCTGGTCGGGTCTAGTTTCCCCTGGTCGGGTCGAGTTTTTCCTTTGATCCGGTCTAGTTTTCTTTGCTCGGATCTAGTTTTTCCCTGGTCGGGTTTACTTTTTCCTTGGTCAGGTCTAGTTTTTCCTTTGGTCGGGTTTAACTTTTCCCTGGTCGGGTCTAGTTTTTCCCTGTTCGGGTCTAATTTTCCCCTGGTCTGGTCTAGTTTTCGCTGTGGTCAGGCTTAGTTTTTACCTGGTCGGGTCTAGTTGTTCCATGTTCGGGTCTAGTTTTCCCCTGGTCGGGTTTAGTTTTCCCTTTGGTCGGGTCTAGTTTTCCCCTGGTCGGATTCAGTTCTCCTCTGGTCGGTTCTAGTTTTCCCCTGGTCGGGTCTAGTTGTTCCTTTGGTCGGGTCTAGTTTTTCCCTGGTCGGGTCTAGTTTTCCCTGGCTGGGTATAGTTTTCCCCTGGTCGGGTCTAGTTTTTCCTTTGGTCGGCTATACTTTTTCCCTTGGTCGGGTCTAGTTTTCCCTGTGGTCGGATCTAGTTTTTCCCTGGTCGGATTTAGTTTTTCCTGTGGTCGGGTCTAATTTTTCCCCTGGTCGGGTCTAGTTTTCCCGTTGGTCGGGTTTAGTTTTTCCCTGGTCGGGTCTAGTTTCCACCTGGTCGGGTCTAGTTTTCCCTTGGTCGGGTCTAGTTGTTCCTGTGGTCGGGTCTAGTTTTTTCTTGGTCGGATCTAGTTTTCCTCTGGTCGCGTCTAGTTTTCCCCTGGTCGTGTCTAGTTTTCCCTGGTCGGGTCTACTTTTCCCCTGGTCGGATCTAATTTTCCCTGTGGTCGGGTCTAGTTTTTCCCCTGGTCGGGTATAGTTTTCGCTATGGTCAAGTCGTTTTTCCCTGGTCGGATCTAGTTTTCCTCTGGTCGGGTCTAGTTTTCCCGTGGTCGGGTCTAGGTTTTCCCTTGGTCGGGTATAGTTTGCCCTGTGGTCGGGTCGAATTTTCCCTGGTCGGATCTAGTTTTCCTCTGGTCGGGTCTAGTTTTCCCCTGGTCGGGTCTAGTTTTTCCTTTGGTCGGGTCTAATTGTTTTTCTGGTCGGGTCTAGTTTTCCCTAGTCTGCTCTAGTTTTCCCATGGCCGGGTCTAGTATTTTTCCTTTGGTCGGGTCTAGTTTTTCCCCTGGTCGGGCTTAGTTTTCCCTGTGGTCGGGTCTAGTTTTTTCCCTGGTCGGATCTAGATTTCCTCTGGTCGGGTCTAGTTTTCCCTTGGTCGGGTCTAGTTTTTCCTTTGTTCGGGTCTAGTTTTTCTCTGGTCGGGTCTAGTTCTCCCTGGTCGGGTCTAATTTTCCCTTGGTCGGGTCCAATGTTTCCTTTGGTCGGGTGTAGTTTCCCCTTGGTCGGGTCTAGGTTTCCGCTGGTCGGGTTTAGTTCCTCCTTTGGTCGGGTCTAATTTGTCACTGGTCGGGTCTGGTTTTCTCCTGGTCGGGTCTAGTTTTTCCTGTGGTCGGGTCTAGTTTTCCCTGTGGTCGGGTCTAGTTTTCCCTTGGTCGGGTCTAATTTTCCCCTGGTCGGGTCTAGTTATCCCCTGGTCGGGTCTAGTTTTGCCTTTGGTCGGGTCTAGTTTTTCTCTGGTCGGGTCTAGTGTTTCCCTGGTCGGGTTTAGTTTTCCCCTGGTCGGGTCTAGTTTTTCCCTGTGGTCGGGTCTAGTTTTTCCTGTGGTCGGGTCTAGTTTTCCCTTGGTCGGGTCTAATTTTCTCTGGTCGGGTCTAGTTCTCCCCTGGTCGGGTCTAGTTTTGCCTTTGGTCGGGTCTAGTTTTTCTCTGGTCGGGTATAGTTTTCCCGTGGTCGGGTCTAGTTTTCCCCTGGTCGGGTCTAGTTTTTCCCATGGTCGGGTCTAGTTTTCCCTGTGGTCGGGTCTAGTTGTCCCTTGGTCGGGTCTAATTTTCTCTGGTCGGGTCTAGTTCTCCCCTGGTCGGGTCTAGTTTTGCCTTTGGTCGGGTCGAGTTTTTCTCTGGTCGGGTATAGTTTTCCCCTGGTCGGGTATAGTTTTCCCCTGGTCGGGTCTAGTTTTTCCCTGTGGTCGGGTCTAGTTATTCCTTTGGTCGGTTTTAGTTTTTCTCTGGTCGGTCTAGTTTTCCCCTGGTCGGGTCTAGTTGTTCCTTTGGTCGGGTTTAATTTTCCCTGGTCGGGTCTAATTTTCCCTGGTCGGGTCTAGTTTTCCCCTGGTCGGGTCTAGTTATTCCCTTGGTCGGGTCTAGTTTTCCTTGTGGTCGGGTCTAGTTTTCCCTGGTCGGATCTAGTTGTCCTCTGGTCGGGCCTAGTTTTCCACTGGTCGGGTCTAGTTTTGCCTGTGATCGGGTCTAGGTTTTCTCTGGTCGGGTCTAGTTTTTTCCCTGGTCTGGTCTAGTTTTCCCCGGGTCAGGTCTAGTTTTTCCCT